CCAATAGTTAGGCAGAGGAGGGATGGGGACTGGCAGTCCAAGTAAACCTATAATTTTTCTCGTGAACCCTCCCTGAAATCTTGTGAGATCACTAACATCCCCAACCCACAGACTGAAAAGTGAAGGCTCAGAGAGACTCTACAAGCAGCACTGTTCCAAGTACTGCACAGTTCTTAACTCATTTAGGGAGCCAAGGAGACACAAAGGAGGTTGAGTAACTTGCACACTGTTCTGGAAATATGTGTTCTTGCCAGGCATGGCAGTGCATTCCTTTAATCCCAACCCTTGGAAGGCAGAGGCAAGATGATGTGTGAGTTTGAAGCCAGTCTGGTCTACAGAGCTAGTTCCAGTACAACCAGGGCTGTACAGTCTTAAAAAAAAAAAAAGCCAGGCATCAGTAGTTCATGCCTTTAATCCCAGCACTGGGGAGGCAGAAGCAGGCGGATCTCTGTGGGTTCGTGGCCAGCCTGGTCTACAAAGGGAATTCCAGGACAGCCAAGGCTACACAGAGAAACCCTGTCTCAAAAAGCAAAGAAAAAAAAAGTAGTCTTCTGACCCCCGAACTGGTTCCAACAATCAGTTATTTTAGACATTAGGGGAGCATATACCCAGGAGGCATCTTACCTTACCCACCACTCTGGCTTTGGTTCTGGGGGCCAAGGGAAAGCCTAAGCTGAAACCAAAGGTCCTTTTCTGTCAGGATCAAAGCTATCTGAACAGCTCATCTGGAAAGATGTTGGGGGAGCTTCAAATGAAAAGAGAGCATTCAACTTCCCGAGAAATCTAAAACCTACATGTTTACCTGTTGGGTAGAAGCTACCCTAGCTGTCTCCAGGAACCAGCAGACCTAGTCTCTGCTCCCTAAGGTACAATGGCCAAGACCCTGCTTTTCTCACAGCATTGATTGACAGGCTCCAGACTGAGAAGGGGATTTGACCTTCATGATTCTGAGAGACCGAGGGTCTGGGAGTTAAACCTGTCTGGGACTAACAACCCTCTGCTCCTGGCCTCCGGTGTTCCATATCTTTTGACTTTTGTTTTGTATGTTCTAGAGCACTTAGAGCACTCTACAAACATGGAGAGGCTATTTTCACCATTTAGTTCATTTCACTGCAACACTCACCTTCCTAGTGGCATTTCCCGGGGAGCTCTGCAAGTATTTATTGCCTCTATCACATAATCACTCCAAGAAATAGGCCAATTTTTAGGGCAGAAAAGTGGCACCTGGGGATGTTGAGTGGCATCTAGGGAGCCATAGATGACATGGAGATAGAGTTCTCATCTGTGTTTCAACATTTATTAATGCTGCTCCCAGCATGACTTCTGAAACTGTGTTTCCCACTGTAGGCTGGGAAAAAATACATAATGCCTTTTGAGGTTACCAGGAGAAATTAAATGAGACTATGTGTGCTAAGTGTTGTAATGAGATATCTACCAAGTCCGCACCTGTCCCCACACCCCAATGGGCGTGGTCAGTGCAACAGATGGGGGCAGGGTAGGTATCTTACTACAAAGTGCTTATCACAATGCCTAGAAAAAATAGTAATATTCAAAAACGAAAGCTAATAGTAAAACTAATCCAAAGAGGCTACAATTACAGTAGAACCTTAATGCATCTTTATAAAATAAAATAGGCTCCCCCAAAATTGTTCTGATGTTACGAATATGCAGAGTGCAAACAGACCCCAACCATTAAAGCATCTCTTATCCCTTTTGAGGTTCAGCTTAAAACTGCCATCAGGGTGAAACTTCCAGTTCTGTGACAGCAAGGGTAACATTTATCCAGGCAGTGTCTCTTGCCTCACTGTGCATCTTATCAAAGGGCTAACGCTTCCTGAGACCTATGTCAGGTGAACATCCAGTCAGGCATCCCTATATCTGAGTCATGTGTAGCTGGTCAGATGTCATCTGGCCCAACTTGATTCCCTTTCACCACCAGGAAAGTGGGTGTGAGGGTCCCATTGTCCCTCAGAGACATCACACACACATACACACAATTACTCCCTCAGGCATTTTCTGCAGCCCCCCAAGTTTCAGTTAAAAGCAAAGGCCACCCCATTCACACAAAGGCTCAATCTATGTAGCCAGAAGACATACAGCAGAGTAGATGGTACACAGCTGGAATCCCAGCACTTGAGGTCAGGGCAGAAGGATCAGGAGTTCAAGGTCATCTTCAACTACAAAGCAAACTTGAGACCTGTCTTATAAACCCAAAATAAAGAAATAATGTGTTTTACCACATAACCCTGAAACTTGAATTCAGTCTGTGTAACCCATAGTGGCAGGGCAGCATCAACTCCCAAATGCTATCCTGTGACCTCCGTACACACCAAATCACAAGCACAACCACACACATCCATGCACAATAATAAATAAAACTTCAGCCAGGCGGTGGTGGCTCACACCTTTAATCTCAGCACTTAGAAGGCAGAGTTAGGTGGATCTCTTGAGTTTGAGGCCAGCCTGGTCTAGAATGAATTCCAGGACAGCCAAGGCTACACAGGGAAACCCTGTCTTAAAAAAAGAAAAAAAGAAAAAAAATTTAGAAAAAGGAACAAAATCAAATATACTCATGTATATTTCTATAATTCTAGGATAAGGAATCTTTTGTCATTCTATAAAGGTTTACCAAGGCTACGTCTGTGTCGAGCCCTATACTTCATATTGGCCAGAGAAGGTCTAGATCTGGTTTCTGCTCTCAAGAAGTTCTCAGACTTTAGAAAAAGTAAACAAAAGCCTGGCAGTGATGGCACACACCTTTAATCCCAGCACTCAGAAGGCAGAGTTAGGTGGATTTCTGAGTTCCAGGCCACCCTTGTCTACTGAGCAAGTATCAGGATAGCTAACATGGAAGGACATCTTGGGGAGAAACCAAGAAAAATCCATTTTGCCCAGAAAAGAGAAACAACAGGGAAGGGAGGGATGAGAACAGAAAGTAAACAAACAAAAACATGATGCCTTAGGTTCAACCACAGCTTTAAAAAGAAAACAGAAGGGGACTGGTGGCACTTGGGAAGAAGGGGCAGGTGGATCTCCGTGAGTTCCAGGCCAGCCTAGTCTACAGAGCAAGTAAAGACAGAAGCTAGATTGGTAAGCTATTGACCTTAAGCCAAGTGCTCTTGACCATCCCACCTCTGAGCACATCTTCCCTTGTGTAAATGGGGCTACTCTTCCCTCAAAGAAACTGCTGGAAAGCATAGTAGTGATACTTATGGAGAGCTGCAATTACTTAGAAAAGGTGACTTTCTGAAAACAATTTATTTATCTATGTACATTAGTATGTTGGCTGCATGTCTATGTAAGGGTATTGGATCTCCCGGAACTGGAGTTACAGACAGTTGTGAGCTGCCATGCGGGTGTTAGGAACTGAACCTGGGTCCTCTGGAAGAGCAGCCCGTGCTCTTAACCACTGAGCCATCCCTCCAGCATGAAGAGATGACTTCTTGTGGTAAAGGACAGGCTCAGCAAACGCAACCGAACAGAAGAGAACCCAAGAAGAGTAAGTGCTGAGTTGTAATCCAAGAGTCAGCAAGACAGAAGAGCCAATGGGGAAACTAACACAAGCTTTCGGAGGTCTGAGGAGCCTCGGGAGTCACAGGAGAGGCAGAGGGCACCCTGAAAACTCAGTCCACACTTTTAAGTGTTAAGAGGTAGAACATTGCCAATCCTGGTGGCACACACCTTAACCCAGGCTCTGGGGATGCAATACAGGTAGATCTACAGAGTTCCAGAACAGCCAGGGCAACCTAATAGTATTGGGTGGGGGGGAACACTTAAGCCAGATGTGGTAGAATACACCTGCATTTCCAATTCCAGCAGCCAGGAGACCGAGTAAGAGGACAGGAGTTCAAGACTGGCCAAGGTTACACAGCAAGACCTTATGTAAAATGGACAAATCATTAAGTGGTGATTAGTCAGAATGGCCTTGGTACAATCCCCAGCACTGTAACAACTCACCCACACACACAAAAAAAAAAAAAAAAAAAAAAAAAAAAAAAAATCACAAGAGCTACAAATAAGTAGCTGTGCTAACCAGCAGTAATTAATAGTACAGTCTAGATGAGGAAGGTCTGAGATTTCAAGGCTTAAAAAGAATATTTGCAAAGACTTGAAAAGGCAACTGAGAGAAACTATGAGGCCAATGTGGCTGGATCTTGAAGAAAAGAGTGAACAGGTAGCATGGTATAAAACAAGACTGGGCAGACATGAAAGGGACCAGTAAAACCTTCCCAGCCACGTTTAAAGCAGGTCAGGAATTTGAGTACTGAGCAGGCTCCAATGTCACCTAATCAGTGCCAGGACTATGAGATGGCTAGCTGTCCACTCAGGTCTCCCTACAATTTCGTTTTCTCCCCTAATGGCTGTTGTCATCACACCACAAGATATTTAACTCCTGGGCATTTGGTAAGGTTTCAAGAGGCCTTAGCCCTTCTAGCCCAACCTATCATAACCCCCAGGTTCCCCAGATGTGAGACTGAGAGATGGATAAGGGAAATTTTATTAAATGGGTCTGAAACTAAGGCCAAGACATAGTCTCTTTTACACCTCATTTCTTCTGTGGAATTTAGGGGGCTTAGTGTCCTAGCTGTTACAACTCTAATATTCTGTGGCACATGAGCCTGTGAGAGAATCCTAAGATCTGAGGAAATGAGATCTTGGGTCTCTAGATTTCCAGGATTCTAAGCCTCTATACTCCAGTAAACTCAGAATAAACAAAAACTGGTTGCTGTTCAGCACCTGCTGGTTTACAAGCAAGAACTCCTGGGCCTCTCAGCATCTCCCAAAGAGCTAGAGAGTAACAATTTGGCTCCACCCTCCATCCCCATCTACCTATTCCCAACCCACCTCCACCATCTCTGCCCGCTGCCTTGCCAAAAGCCAAGTCTGACCGTCTTAGGGGCGGGAAGATAAAACTTGCAAGCTGTGGAGAGAGCGGAGCTGAAACTGGAAGAGGGTGGGGTGTCTTGGCCCGCCCATCGCCTAAGCTGCTGACTTCCTGGTCTCAGCAGGCCTCCGCGAGGGTAGCAGGCCTCCGCGGCTGGGCTGGGAACCCCTGAGCCATGGGGCGGGATGCCATCCTGGACGCTCTTGAAAACTTGACAGCAGACGAGCTCAAAAAGTTCAAGATGAAGCTGCTGTCAGTGCCACTGCGCGAGGGCTATGGACGCATCCCACGGGGGACCCTCTTGCCGATGGACGCCATAGACCTCACTGACAAGCTTGTCAGCTTCTACCTGGAGACTTACGGCATGGAGCTCACAATGACTGTGCTTAGGGAGATGGGCATGCAGCAGCTGGCTGAGCAGCTGCAAACGGTCATTCAGAAAGGTGAGTGGCTCCACCCTGCTTGTCTACCCTCAACTTCCTGCACCCCACCAGAGGCCTGCGTCTTTGGCTCCTAGTTTTCTGTTCCTACCTTACAAAAAAGAAAGAAATCCTCCCTTTGTAACCTTGAACTTAGCACCCTGGGTAGAGGGGGAGACAGCTCCAGACAAACTGTTGATAATGGAAAAGAACCACCTGACATTTCTTCACAGAGTCTAAAGCTGTGGCAGCTGCAACCAGTGCCCCTCCTCAAAGGGCAGCAAGAACAGGTGAGGCCTCCCCACCCTACCACACCCTTGCACAGCCTACCTATTGTCCCAAGGCCAGAGCCGAGACTATCCCTGCTACCTACTACCCACACATTTTGGTGAGGGAATGTAGTTCACGTAGGTAGTCATGGTGGGTAGCCTTCCTTGACACCCCCCCCATCTCTAAAACTACACTTAGTAACAGTTGAAGCCATGTTCGACATTGTTCTCACTTCTGCCCTCAGCACATTTCGTTGACTGTCACCGGCAAGCGCTCATTGCCAGGGTCACAGACGTCGATGGCGTGCTGGATGCCCTATATGGCTGCGTGCTGACTGAAGACCAGTACCAGGCAATTCGGGCAGAGACCACCAATCCAAACAGGATGAGGAAGCTCTTCAGCTTCTCTCCAGCCTGGGACCTGGCCTGCAAGGACTTGTTCCTCCAGGTTCTAAAGGAAAAGCTGCCCTACTTGGTGGCTGACCTGGAGCGGAGCTGAGGTATTTTCTCCAGCCACAGCCCCTACACATCTAGCTTTGTATACACAACTTTAAAAAAAAAGTTTGTACTTGTGTTTTCTCTACTCCCTTGGATGTTTGTGCCTAGCTAAGCTACATTTCTAAAAGCCAAATGAGCTAAAGGATGGGGCTCATTTGTAGATCAGTGCACCTACTGTGCACAAACCCCTGGACTTACCTCCAACACCCAAATTCCACAAAGTTCTGATTTCACTGTTCTAGCGTGTAAGATTTCTTAAATGATTCCTGGTTCCCCATTTGGGAATTTTTCCTGTATTATCCCAAGGGATTACTCTTGAGAACACACTTAATATCTAGATCTGTCTAGATCTAGTTAAAATGGAGATGTGTGGGGGATATGTACAATGGGGCTTAAAACTGGGAGGGGCAACTCTGCCAGGGGCGTCCATGTAAAATTCTGTATGTGCTCTACCTTTTCCGTAGTTATACTATTTTCACAGGAGAGGCAGAGGTACCAGCAGATTAGATTACTAAGGAGGCCCAGAATGCCAACCACCTACCAACTTTCCTTCCTCTACCAGACTTGATCTAAACTCTTAGCTGCAACAGGCCTCTGATTGGCCCTCCCTGCATCTAGTCTACCTCCAAAGGCCCGAGTAACCAAAAGAAGGCCATAGGAACAGACTGTCTTACTAATCACACCTGAACTTCCAGCCTGGTCCTTAAGGCCAGCCAAGCCCCTCTCCTCCTGCTCTTGCACACATGTCCCATAGCCACTATTCTCACACCAGGCCCTACGTTTGGCATACAGCTCTGGAAATCCTACCTGTCCCAGCCTACTCAAAGACACATCTGCCAGCTCAGAAAACACTTCCCAGTGTCTCTATGGCAAAGTAAGCCATCACCACAGTGCATTTTCACAAGTGACCCTAATAGACTGGGCCTGCCATTAAAATACAGAAACTTTTTTTCCAACTTCTGTTTTTAATTTTCAGTTAAATTTGCTAAGCATGATGGCACATGCCTTTGATCCCAGCACTACCCAAGCCAGACTGGTCTACAGTGTTCCAAGCCAGCCAGGGATACAGGGATATTAAAAACCTGACTGGGAAAAATAAAACTCCACAGGAGACCAGGGGGCGGGCGTGGCACATGCCTTTAGAACCAGCACAAGGGAGGCAGAGGCAGAGGCAGGTGGATCTCTGTGAGTTCCAGCCCCCTGATCTACACAATGAGTTTCAGGATAAACTCCAAAGCCACAGAGAAACCCTGTCAAGAAGGAAAGAAGGGAGAGAGGGAGGGAGGGAGGGAGAAAGAGGGCAGGACTGGAGAGATGGCTCAGAGGTTAAGAGCACTGGCTGCTCTTCCAGAGGACCTAAGTTCAATTATCAGCAACCACATGGTGGTTTACAACTATCTGTAAATGAGATCTGGTGCCCTCTTCTGGTATGCCAACAGAACACTACATACATAATAAATAAATCTCTTTTTCGGGGCCTCAAACTCAGAGATCTGCCTGCCTCTGCCTCCCAAGCACTAGGATTAAAGGTGTGCACCACCACCGCCCAGCAATAAATAAATCTTGAAACTCCACAAAAAGCTAATGTTTCCATAACACTTTTGTAAAGAGTAGCTACAGAGCTGGGGATGGAACTCTACTGTAGACGACTTCTCTACCATGCCTGAACCCTGGGTTTATCGTCCCTCCCCGCCTAGCCCCAATAATGGGAACACCTGTTAACCCCAGCGTTGTGGAGACAAGAGACATGAGAGTATGAGATGGAAGGCAGAGATAGAATGGCCCGGAAGTTCACTAGACAGCTAGCTAGCATGCAGCACGGCAGCAGAAACAGACTCCCAACCTCAACAAGGTAAAAAAAATGAGACTCCCAAGTTTGTCTTTAAACCCCTAAGTACAGACATACATGCTCACATACATTTTTTTTTTCAGTTTCTTTAAAAAGAATAAGCTCTTGGGGTTGGAGAGATTCTCAGCTGTCAAGAGTAGTGACTGCTCTTCCAGAGGACCAGGTTCAATTTAGGCTGAGTCTGTAAAGTCTGTTCCAGGGAATTTGGTGCCCTCTTCTGGCCTTGACAGGTAGCGACAGACATACAAGTAAGCAAAAAGCAACCAAAAAAAAAAAATGTTTAAAGATAAGCTTGGCCATGGTTCCTATACTACCAAAGGTCACACAAATGCCCAGGGTCTAGGCCCACAACCTGTGGCCATGCTGGTACCCAAGGCCATGCCACTACTGGGACCGTGCTGGTCTGAGTGGCCTGCACTGTCACCTGGGACCATGGCATCGTGCAGGTCAGGGCTGTTGCCAAAGGCCATGTCTGGGTCCATGGTCCTACCACAGCCAGGGTCTGTGTTGATACTTGTGGCTCTTGAAGGCCATGTTGACAGCAGGGGTCTAGGCCATCATCTGGGGCCATGTAGTCTGAGGGCCACTCTGCTGCAGGGACCATGACGATGAGTAGCCTGTACTGCCACCTGGGGTCATAGTGACATCCAAGTCCAGGCTACTGCTGGGGACCATGTCTGGATCTGTGGTCCTACAACAGCTGGGGTCTGTGTCAATGTCCATGGCCCATGATGCCACCAAAGGCCACACAGATGCCTGGGATTTAGGCTACTTCCTGTGGCCAAGTTGGTGTCCAAGAGCTATTCCACTTGCCTGAGTTGCCTGCATGGTCATCTGTAGCCATAAATTCTCCATGATGGCAGCTAGGGTCTATCTGTGTTGATTGATGTCCATGACTCCTAATACCATGAGTACAACAGCAATGACGGGTCTGGGCTGCCACCTAGGGCCATGTTAGTGTCCAACGGCCATACCAATCTCAGTGCCATGCACTGCTACCGGGTGCCACCTAAGCCCAGACTGCTGATGGGAACCATGTCTGGGTTCATGGTCCTCCCAAAGCCAGGTTCTGTGACAATGTCCATGGCCCATGGTACCACCAAAGGCCACATGGATGCCCAGGTCTGGGACAAAACATGTGGCCATGTTGGTATCTGTGCCAACACTGCCATATAGGGTCATGATGTTTTCTGGGCCTGGGCTGCCTATGACCCAGTAGCAGCCAGCATCTAGCTTGATATTCATGGCTCTTATTGCCACCAGGGACTGTGCAGATGGCATGTTCAGGACAGCCACCTGAGGCCATGTTGGTGTTCAAGGGTCTTGTTGTCACTGGAGTCATACTGATATGGGTGGCCTATGCTGCCACTGGGGCCATGGTGATATCTAGCCTGAGCTGCTGCTGCAGCTAGAGTCTGTGATGATGTCCATGGCACAGGGGGTCATAGGAACCATGCCATGTTGAAATCCAAGGACCATGGTGAGCTAGCCCCAACTGGACACAGCAGCAGGAACTGCCTCCCCTTCAACCCACACTCCAGAGAGATGGCCCCACCCCTCACCACCAGCTCAGGAGTTATGTTGTATTTATTGGCAGAAACTGAGAGGCTGCAGGAAGTCCAACCTGAGGCAAGAATGGGAACAGTGCAGGGATTATGGGAGCTTTCACAATAACTCAGGACTGGAGAGATGGCTCAGTGACTCACAGCACATATATATTTGTATTTGTTTGATTTTTTATGTTTGTTGATTTGGGGGGGTTGGATGGATGTTTGTCCTGGAATTCAATACATAGATCAGACTGGCCTTGAACTCAAGGGACTTATCTGTCTCTTCCTCAAGTGCTCAGATTAAAGGCTTGTGCCACCATACCATGCCCACCAGAAGCAGTATAGTTCCAATAACTTCCCCAAGGGCTGAGGAGATGGCTGGGGAACAGGGGGTGATAGTAAAGCACTTGCTGTACAAACATAAAGACATGAATTCAGACCCCCAGAACCTATATAAAAGATGGAGGCAAACAAACTAACCTCTTTGTAAAATGGGACGCAGAGACAGGAGGATGCCTGGAAGCTCCCAGACCAAGTCACTGATCAAGAGACCCTAACACAAGCAGGGTAGAAAGCAAGGACCAACACCAAGGTTGCCTTGTAAGTCCTGGTGCTCAGACCACACACACATACCAGATTTTGGGTTGGGAACTCCCCTTCCCCGAGGAATTCAGTTCTAAGTCTTAGATTTCCGGCATAGCGTTATGGGTAAAAATTCTAAAGGATGAAAATTCAAGCCCAAGCCCTGGTCTTAGTACCCTCAGCATCCCCCTGCAAAGTGGGAATAACAAGACCTAGCTCATCATTTATCAGTACCAGGAAATGCACATTAGCGTCAACAACTCTTTCCAGTAGGGCATGGAATTGTCATCCGGGTACCTGTGCTGCCCACTACATAAAAGTACCTTCCAGTCTTGTGGTATCTAACGCTAACCCACAAAACAGCTGCACTCATCTCCAATGCACATCCCAAAACTAGATGTTTGGAACAGTACAAGAACTAGACAACCACTGATCAAATAGTTCTGCCAAAACAAAGCAGGTTTGGAGGCATTGGACAAAGTGACAAAACTCAAAAAAAAAAAAGGGACATTCACTAGTATTCCCAACCAGTAGTCACACAGAAATTTCCAACATCGTTATGCTAAATTCTTTAAGATCCATTCCCTGCCCCTACAGTTTCTGTGTGGCCCTGTAGACCAGGATGGCCTCGCCTGCCTCTTGAGTGTTGGGATTACAGGTATTCACTATGACAGCCTCAAACTCTTAATGATGCTCAACCTAACAAAATTTAAAGTTACAAAAGAAAAACTTGTTTTAATCTTCAGTCTAGCTCAAAGTTTCTAAGAGGACTCGCTGCATCACACTTGTGATTTTCCCATGTCTCCCAAACAAGTTCTGGGACTATGGGTATGGGCATCACACCCAACTTCAGTATGATAAACCTTCCTTCTCAAATCTATTCAAGCTTCAGTCTTTCAACAATAAAAACCAGTGTAAGCTAGACTTGTGCTACTTACAAAAATCTACATACAGATTGAACATGATAGCATATACCTTAGTCCCAGCAATTAAGAGGCAGAGGCCTGGTCTAGTGTTTCAGGACAGCCAGTAACATATGGATAACCCAGGAAAACGTTCTCTGCTTGATTTCCTCTTAAGATCTTTAATTATGCATATACATGTGTGTCTGGGTGTGCGCATGTATGTGAACAGTGACTTTAGATCACCCTGGAGGTGGAGTTACATGTGGCTTTGAGCTGTTTGATATGGGTGCAAGGGACCAAAATCATCTCTACAAGATCACTGTGTGTTGATATTGCACAGGCAACTAAAAATAAGGGGGGAAGGTAGAAATAATTCAGCAGTTAAGGGCACTTACTGTTCTTAGAAAGGATCTAGATTTGGTTTCCAGCACCATTAGCTCACAACCATTCATAGGCACACATAGTACATATGCATCCAATGAAGGCAAAACACCTACACATATAAAATATGTAAATCTAAAAGAAAAAAAAAGTTAGATTGTTATGTTGTATTTATTGGCAGAAACTGAGAGGCTGCAGGAAGTCCAACCTGAGGCAAGAATGGGAACAGTGCAGGGATTATGGGAGCTTTCACAATAACTCAGGACTGGAGAGATGGCTCAGTGATTCACAGCACATACCCCCAGACTCACATGTATATTCATAATTAAAAATAATAAAGATAACTCTTAGAAGAGGAAGTCAGGTAGAGAATATGCCTGGGTCATCTCTTCTGTATATTAATATCCTAGACTGTGATAAACACCATGACCAAAAGCAACTTGTGGAGGAAAGGCTTTATTTGGCTTACATGTGGTACTTAGTGATTGTGAGGAGAAAAAGGTCAGGGTAGGAACACGGTGGAACAAGGAGGAAGAAACTAAGCAGTGCACCTGGGATAAAGGAAAACTCCCAATCTCGTTTTAAAAAAGTAAAGCAACTTCTAATCAGGTAGTAGGCCCATGCTTATAATCTTAGTACTCAACAGATAGCATATCAAGTTCAAGGCCATCCTGTGCTACAGTAAGAGT